AATAGTAACCGCAGGCGCCCGCCCAAAACCCGCGGACGCCTGCCCAAATGGGTAGAACCATGGGAAATGGTGCGGAGCAGCCCTGTACATGGCGGGGGCCAGCCCAAGACCCTCGGGCGCCTGCCCAAATGGGCAGAAGCAACCCTAGACAGCAGGAACAGTGTTTTAGCAGAAATTTGAGTTTGCGACGCAGTTTCCGAGACCAAGATGAAATTTTTTGGAAAAACACGAAAAAGAAACTCCCCCTAAAATCACATTTTCTACGAGGCACAGTTGAGAATGGAATTTATTTTCCCAAATGAAATACTAAAAATTACCTTAAGCTAGAATTTTCAACAAAAAATGATTTTGAGCGCGCGGGAATGGTCCACGGCCCCCGAAAATGGCCGAGTCAAAATCCGACCCCCCAACGACCAAAAAGGCGAAAATGTACTTAAAATGAAAATTTTGAAAACTAAAATCAACAAATGGTTTCAATTTACCGTTTGGCCCTTGGCCACACTTCATACAATGACATCCTACGGAAGGCTAAAAATGGAATTCCCTCACCCAATGCAAACATAGTGAAACAAAAACTCAAAATTTTTTAATATTTTCATAATAATCCATGAAGTCAAAAATTACATAAGATACAAATTACATGCCATTGGCCTCCTACCTCATCTCATATATGTCAAATATATTGAAAGGAGTGTACTTAAGTACACATTACATACATGGAATCAAATATACGTATTTTGACATATAAGTCTACAAAATGACATTTCATGCTAACATTTGCATGAAATGGAAACTTGAAAGCTACACGACATCCAAGGAATGCTAGGCGTCACGAACCAAGTCTTTGTACCTGAAATATGCCCCAGTAACGTAGGGGTGAGCAACATAAAGCTACTCGTAGGAGATGAGGATGCATCGACCTAGCATTTTACAATTTTATAACCTTAATGTGAAACATGTCAAAGGAGGTCATGTCACCTAACGTCTATGTCAAAGTAAGACTCGAGGAGCATCCTAACCTACCTAAGAGTCTAAGCAACAAGAATCATGATATATATCTATACATATATGAAATGAATCAAGGTTGGGATAATCCAAGAACAAGACAAGAAAGATGCTTGAACATAGATTTACATGAATTGCATTATCAATACAATTAAACAAGGTTTGGAGCATTCCAATTAACGCGATAAGAAAAACACATGAAGTCTAGGACAACGCATAATATCTATGCAAGTAAACAAGATTGGGGCATTCCAATGAACATGACAAGGATTATACATGAAACCAAGTACAAGGCATAATGTCTATGAAAATAACAATGTTAGAGCATTTCAAGTAACACGATAAGAGTAATACAAGAAATCAATGACAAGGCATAATATCTATGCAAGTTCACAAGGATGGAACATTCCATGAAACACGAAAAGAGTTATACGTGAAGTCAAGAACAAGGCATAATATCTATGCAATTAACCAGATTGGAACATTCCAATTAACACGATAGAAGTAATACAAGAAATCAAGATCAAGGCATAGTATCTATGCAATTAACAAGGTTGGTGCATTTCACATAGCAGGACAAAGACAAGGTGTGAAATCAACCAATGTGGAAACTCGGATATCGCCCGGATTAAAACCATACTCTTGAGATCACTTTAGGGCTACTAACCCATGGGTACCTTTCCCCTAGTGAGCACTATAGTTGTAGGAGGACATTCCCCCGTACTAGAACCAAGTCCTAGCCATGTCAATTCTTGATTAATATCTCAAGTCCCAAAATCAGCAAGTTTTGCAAGTCAAGATTATATCAAATACAAGAAATGCATTAACCACGTTTCATGCACAACCAAGATTTTGGAACATACAAGTCATGCCCTAAGTACTCAACTATGATGGCATGTGAAATGTTAAGAAATCATAGTGTGCAACTATATAGACAACAACCATGATATATAGTGCTTGGAGTTCATTGAAGAAAATATACCACAAGTATACGATACATGATCCAATTACCTTCTAAGCAACACATGTGTAATTAAACCATTTCAAGATAAGTACATGTTCATTAAATACGTTAATGAAACCTAGATACAAGGGGTCATGATTATATCGATGGGAGCATAAAAAGGGAACTTAATCTACTAAAGGGATCAAGTTATCAAGATTTCAAGGTAAGTTCAAGTGTTCTACAACAAGGCATGTCAAGGATCATGTCAAGGCCAAGTTCAATGTCAAGTTACAAGTTCATTTCATACAAGATGCAACCATGTGAATTAAGTTCCATACAAAGGAATTAATTAAATATAAGTTTCAAAACTAATCCGATTATTCTTAATTTGATACACGTGAAAGAACTTGTCAAGGAAATCATGAATACAGGGTTAGAAACTTAATCTAGCTCATGGAACGATTGAATGGATTTTAAAAGTCGTCCAAGTGACCTCAATTTAATGTATGTTATACAACATGTCAAGACTTGTTTTAAAAACACGATACAAGTGAATTACATGCAAGATACGACCATGAGTATTAAACTTTAATACTAGAAAAATAATAAATAATAGATTTCAAAACCTAATCAAATATTCTAGATTTAATGTATATGAAACTAGATGACATGTACATCATGAATATCAAGTCGAAAATCAAATGTAGTGAATAGTACACTCGGGGCAAATTAATTAATCAATTAATTAAAAATTCTCTAGATTTTTAAACAACTCCGATTACTCCCAATTTAATCTATGTTGATGAGCATGCTAGGGCCTAATATAATATGCTACCACATATTGATTTCAAGTTAATTAAGGCCATGTGAATTAATCTTTCACTTAAGATAAATATTAAATAAAATCTTTAATACTTATTCAAATGTTCCAAATTTAATACACAACAATGAGTATATCAAGGGGCAATATAATATCATGCTACATGTTTAAACCAAGTCATGAGCAACCGGAAAAAATAAATCCCGTACAAGAAAAATAAATAATAAAATCTCTAGATTTTATATTTATCATGTTGTATAAGCATCAATATCATGCTATATAACAAGCATTAAACCAAGAACATCCCCTACCTCAATTTGAGATGAAAATCCAAAATCCCCACCGAAACGAAAGTGCTCCGAATCCGACAATATTGAGAGGTTTTGTCGGGGACTACCCCGGGAACAAGAATCCGTAAGAAGCCCCATGAAAATCTCAACTTGACTCCAAACCCGAACTCAAAAAATCGTCAAAAATGGATTCTAATAAGGGCATAAGATGCATGGCGTTAAGACAAGCATTAAACGTTAAGTCCGAAGACTTTTCACCAAGGAAAAGTGGTCCAAAGGAGGAGAGAGAATGTGGCAGCCATGGGAGGGAGCTTGGCCGGCCATGGGAGAGGAAGAAGAAGAAGAAATCTGATTTTTTTGTTCTTAAGTCCCATATTTATAGTAAGTCTCAAAAAGTGTCCTAAAAGGGCCCCGCCGGGTTCGAAAAAGTGAATTTTGAGCAAACGCGCTCAAACAGCAAAACTCTGTGAACAAAAAAGATTCAAAATGAAAAGATATGAACAACGGAAGAAACGGCGTCGAAAACTGAGTCCCGATCATAGAGATATGTCCCGAACAAGTTCGGCGGCAACAGGGTCCAGAAACTCTGAAATTGAAGAAAAACGACCAGAACGGAATTCTAAGAGTACATGACTCAACAAAATGTGAAAATGAATCCCACACGAGGATCCAGGCACCAGACGAGGTATTTTGCAATAACTTTCGTTAATTGCACAATGGCCCCTACAAAAAGGGTTAACTGTGAAATTGCCCCAGAATGAAAATATCTTCCAAAAGATATTTCTTAGATGCCCCTGAAATAAAATATCTCTAAAAGATATTTATGAAAAACACTCCAAGAAATGAAAAAGATTTTGAAGAATTGTACATCCATGTCCCTATGGACACCGAAAGCAACCAGAGTACTTTCTTGCAAAAGTGAAGATACGTATTTCGAGAAAACCACTCAAGATGAAGGCACGTGAAGTCAAAAACCAACTCCGAGCATGAGAAGTGAGGTTGTGCCAAAAACTGACAAACGGAAATAAGACAAAATAGGGAAGATGATAAAATAGGGAAAAGACGAAATAGCGCATTATGTTCGAAAAAACGAAAAATGCAAAAATGAATCGGTCCTCAAAGGAAGTTGTCAATTCACATGAAAGAGTCTCAGAAACCAATTCTAAGCACTCGAGATGACACTAAGCGACACGAAACAAAGCTCAGAAAAGAAAATTAAACGAAAAAAAAATCATTCGTAAAATTTTAAGAAAAAAGAAAGGAAGGAAGGCAAATGACCGGGTCGTTACATAACATGTGTGCCAATTTTCATTCATACTTTATGTAAACTAATTTTTTGTTTTAGCACTGGTCTTAACTTCTTATACCTGTGTTTGTCAAATAACATATTGCCATCACTTAAGTCAGCTTCATTGATAATTTAATCATACTTTAATAAAAAAATGACTTAAACCCATCAAATCAAACCCTATATATATAAATGGCACTTATCCAACCATGGATCCTAATCTTATGTCATAGTCCTGAAAATGTGAGACTTCTATTATAAATATAAATGTGCACTTATCCAACAATGGATCCTAATCTTGTGACGTCAAAGTATTCTAAAAAAAATGTAAAATAAAAAAAAAATAATAGCAAATGAATTTCTCTAAGATATTGTGTAATGATTAACTGGGAAGGCTTGGACTGTTGACCAGCAAGTAGGAACTCCAAACTTTCGTTTTTTAACTTGGAAGATATGGAGGTTTACGCTTTATGGTGATAAAAAAGAAGTCCATGCTACTAATTTATCTAATATTTAAGTTCAAGATTTTTGTGATTCAATGTATCTAACAACACTCATATTTAAATTCATATACTTAAAAAATAATAATAATAATAACCTCATATAAGGATCATAATAAAAATAAATAAATAACTAAAATGAACAACTTACATGTTGAAGCAACCCTGGCACTTCACATCCACAAAAATTATATCGTTGGAAGTCTGAAGAAACTCTACGTAAGATAACCAAACATCAATTATCTTGTAAAGAGAAACTAAAACATTCCTAACCAAAGTCTGAAGAAACGTATTATAAAAAATCTTATGTACAGTAAAAGATCTTATATAGATATATATATATACTAAGTACGAATAATTCGTTTGGAAATAAAAGAAAAAAAATTCAAACCAAAAATTCATTTCATAAAAGAAAAAAAAAACATTAAAAAAGAAATTTGCTTATCGATTGGAACTTACTTAGAAATTGCAGAGAGAAACTAAATTGTGTAAAATGAATGATCAGTGAGAAATAAAACAACGAACCACGAAGAAATTAAAATGAAGCAAAGCGGTACCTAAGAGAGGCTTTAGTGAGAACGTTTTGGGAGGAAAATCTAGTGAGTAAGATCTCGAAATGACATAAATTAACAGCTCTTGGAGATTGAGTAGCTAGTTAGAGATCGAGACAGAGGAGAGACAGCCTGAAGAGAAGCCTAGGGCTTCAACTTTATAATCTCAGATAAGATAATGCCGAAAGAGAGATGGGTTAGCAAACATCAATCAAGGGCTTCAGCTAAGAAATGGAGATTGAGCAGTGAGATATCGAGACAGGGTAGAGGAGTCTTGCAGCTGAGATGGAGATCGAGCAGTGAGAGATCGAGATAGAGCGGGTTAGCAAACATCAATCAAAGGCTTCAGCTGAGAAATGGAGATTCAGCAGTAGAGATTGAGACAGAGTACAGGAGTCTTGCAGCTAAGAGATAGAGATAGAGCAGTAAGGGGAGACGGATGAAGTAGGGCTAATTGAAATTGAAATGGGAAAGTGGAATATAGTGTTAATGGACCCAGAAAAATGATGCAGTTTAGACACCAAATATTCTATATATATAAATAAGCGGAGGGAAAAAGTGGAGGGACGACAAAAATTGGAGGGAAAGGGAAAAATCGGAGGGAATGGAAGGGCCATTACCTGCGATTTTTGTTAAAGATTCAAATGACATTGATGGTTCTTGGTTAAAATAACTCTTAGGCTTCCATGCCCTTAGAACACTTGGTTTTAACGCAGCTTTCTTTGAATTCTCTTTGGTAAACAAACTCTTAGAACTTCCACTTTCAAGCAAAGACTCAATTCTATCAAATTCATTATCAATGCACTTTTTTACAACACATACCTTTTTATGTTTGTCCATTGAATTCGGGGTCAGATTAAAAATGTTCAACTTCACTTTCATATGCCCAAATGAGATTTTCATTATCCATGTCCTACAATTGATGTTGGCATTTGAAGTTGCCAAGAAGGGATGGCCAAGGATAATGGGAATTTGGCTCTTGGGTTTAGAACCGGTTCCTTATCTATGATAACAAAATCGACGGGAAAGAAAAACTTATTAATCTTGATCAAAACATCCTCAATGATACCCCGGGGCTTTTTAATTAATCGGTCGGCAAGTTGTAAAACTACCGACGTCGGTTTCAAGTCTCCTAAGCCCAATTTGACATACATTAAATATGGAAGAAGATTGACACTAGCTCCTAAGTCAAGAAGAGCCCGATTTATGACATGGTCACCAATGATGCAAGAAGTAGTAGGTGAACCGGGGTCTTTAAACTTTGGGAGATTGCTATATTGCAAAATAGAGCTCACTTGCTCGGTCAAGACTACTTTCTTTGGTGCTTGGCTTTTGTCTTCCTCTTTTGGGTGCAAAGATCTTTTAAAAACTAGGCATAAGCCTGAATTTGCTTAATTGCATCCAAAAGCGGAAGATTGATCTTCACTTGCCTAAACATTTCAATGATTTAATTGGTTTTGGTCTTTTGTTTGTCAAGATAAATGGATCCTTACAAGGCATCCGGAAATGGAGCTCTTGGTTCAAAATCTTTTTCAAAATCATTCTTTGAAACATCATCAACATAAGAATTTGTAAGATCATTTTTCAAATCATGCTTTAATTTATCTTTTAAATAATTTTTTAACACTTTCTTAACATGATGGTCATGCACATGCAATGAAGGAGGAATAAAATGTGAAACGGGAAGGGTGTCAACTTTTGGTTGCACCGGTTCACTCTCTTCATTGGACATACCTACTTTGTTGTCCACAATCTTGCTACTCCTCAAGGTTGTTACCGCATTGACATGTTCAATTGTGGGACCTTCCGATGAGGAATGAGTCTCTACAATACATTGTTGCTTTGGTGAGGCATTTAAAGGCATTTTCCCTTTCTCTCTAGCATTTAAAGTACTAGCTATTTGCCCTACTTGGGTTTATAGCTTAGCAATAGATTGAGAATGACAATGAAGCAATTAAGTGTTCGCCTCTAGGGTGCCTAGAGCGGTCAAAACTATCTCTTTAAATGCAAGAATCCTAGAGTTTCCTTGAGAATAAGATGGTTGATTAGGAAAATGAGAATTTGAGAATTGATTACCATGTGATTGAAATGATGATGATCTAAAACCTTGGGAACCTTGGCCTTGCATTGGAGGTGGAACATACTTTCCTTGAAAACCACATTGAGAAGGGTTTGAGCCTTCCCCTTGGCTTTTCCAAGAAAAGTTCGGATGGTTCCTCCAACTAGGATTGTAATGAGTGCCATAGGGATTATTCCCTTGGTTAGCAAAAATGGCATTGGCTTGCTCATGGTTGTCATTTTGCACATGTCCATGGGGACAATTGGAAGTAGAATGCAAGACACTTGAACAAGTCATGCATGATTCATTAGTTGCATGATGATGAACATGATTAGGGGAGGAAGACATTTGATTCGCCGAAGTTTGGTTGATCAAAAATTGATCAAACCTTTGAGATAAGGATTTCATCTCAGTGGCTATATCATTGGAGTTGTCAACTTGATACAAGCCAACATTATTTTTTCCACCTAGATTTCTACAATTTTTTGATGACAAAGATCTATGCATTGAATTTTCACTCATACTTTCATACAATTGCCACACATCATTTTCATGCTTGTCAAGATAAGAACCACCTATAGATGCATTAACCATACCTTTGTGATTATCCGGTAAACTTTCAAAGAAATATTGAACTAATTGCCACTTAGGTATGTCATGATGTGGGAACTTTCTAAGCAAGTCATTGAACCTTTCCCATGCCTTATGAAACATTTCCCCATCCCCTTGAGAAAATTCACGAATGGAAGTTCTCATGGCATTGGTCTTTGATACCGGGTAGTACTTCTTTAAAAACTCTTGTTGTATTTCTGCCCAAGATTATCGAAAAATGCCTAAGATTGTTGAACCAATATTTTGCCTTGTCTTTAAGGGTAAAAGGATAAAGTTTGAGTCTTAAAAATTCTTCTGGCATGTCCGTGTATTTCACGGTGGAACACACTTCAAGAAACTCATCCAAATGCTACTCGAACACCTTAGTTAACTTGAACCATGGGAGGTTGTGGAGCAAAGATTGGTTGAGGCATTCCCAATGGAATTTGGCATTGTTGTTGTGGTATGAATGGTCTAAGAATGCCTAATGGTATTTGGATATTTTCATGATGCACATTAGGGGGGAGGATGCCTTGTTGGTCTATGTAACCAAGGTCCTCCACATGGTCATTGTTTTGCTCTTCCATTGATGAAATGGAGCGATTAGAACTACTTCTTCCCCTAGGATTACGAACTACCGATTCAAGATGAAAATTAAGAGGGACAAGAGTAGGTTTCAATGACCTACGACCATGCATGCACTAGCAAAAAAAATAACATGAAATGAGCAAGTAACAAACACTTCGCCCCCACAACAAATCAATCAACAAATCTTCACATACAATGATCCCATACTCCTATGCAAAGAAAAGTAAAATTGCCTCCACGCAGGCTCACGATTTATCAAAGAATTTAAAAACTTGCTACCACGCGGGCCGACGATTTAACTAGAGATCGAGTTAGAAAGATCTCACAAAGGGTCCTTAAGCACTTCAATTCAATTTCAATTTTTAAGCCTTGTTATGCTTTGCAATTTTTTAGATTTTAGCTTTTATGCTTTTGCTTAGCTTCACTTGGCTTTCTTTGCTTTGATTGTTCCTTTGCTTAATTTCCTTATCCAATGTTCCAAGTCAATCAAGAACAAACATAATAAGTAACCAAAGATAAAATAAAGAAAAGACACGCTCAAAAGAGTACTAATTCCTATTTGTTTCCAAAACACGGCATTGCGTATTAAATCCCCGGCAACAGCGCCAAAAACTTGGTGTGCCACTGCACCAACGCTTAAAAGATGTGCACTATTGAGTGTGAGTGTGCAAAGTGGCCAAGTTTTAAATTTATGAATGCCACTACTACCTCTAACTAAAAATATAGCTAGGGTGAGTAGGGATCGTCCCAAGGGATTGTGGGCGTGACAATGTATAGGGTTAGTAGGTCAAGTGATCAAAAGATGGTTTAATTGACTGATTAAGCTATTATGCAAATTAATTAAAGCAAACAAAACAAATGATTTTAGGGAATAGGAGAAAAGAAATATAGAGGGGAGGACTTAGGGTACTAGAGCTCACCACTAAGCTTAACTTCACTAGACATTAGCAATTGTATATTAATGGGGAAATTGATTTGTAACTTGTGTATGTGTGTACATTAATTGAAACTAGGCATGGATGGCAAATAAGCATAGATTGTCTAGCCAATTCATATGGAAAGCACAACCTATCAAATGAGACCAAAATCCATTCAATGAAACCACAATTTATGCACACACTACTATCGAGAAACATACACCACTTGGATTCATAAGTATAGAACACCAAGGAACAAGAGTAGATTGTCCACCTATCAATGAATCTAAAACAACTATACTACATCTACACTAAAGACATGGAAATTAAACTAAGTAAGCTAAAGGTGTGGCATAATCCATCAAGAATCAAGTGTGAACCATCAAAAAAATTGCAAGAGTGTTCAATTAAGCTCTATGTTTTGACCATCTCTAGATTAACTTCATCCATACACATAGACATGCATAAATTCCACTAAATCTAGATAAAAACACATGAATCATCCATTCTAGCATACATAGACATATGGGTAGAAGTAGATAATCAATTAAAAGCATTAATCCATACACATCAAGTAGAAACCACAAGATATATATATATATAAATCTAAGATCAAAACATTTGTTACAAATAAATCCCCAAAAATACGCAAAGAACTAAGTCTAGAAAGCAAACTTAAGGGCTACTCTAGCCCCAAGTAGATGTCTAGCCACTCATTGAAGTAGTCATCCAACCCTCAAGGGCTATCTTCATGGTAGGCATGATCTCCTTCTTGATGGAAACCCTAGAAGAATGGAAGAACTCCCAAAGGTGTATGAAAAACTCTCTAGTCTCTAGCCTCCTCTCCAAGATAAGAAAAAATACAAGTTTTTGTGAATTCTCAAGCATGATACTAGTTATGATGTAAAAATGGCTCAAAATCCTTCTATAGGTAGGTCAAGTGTCACACCCAATAGTCTGGGCTCGTACACCAAGGTCCTTCTAATGATTGCACATGAGCTAACTTTTAATGAGCTGGAATCTTTTTTTTTTTTTTTCAGACTTGAGGGGGTTCGATCGATCGAACTGTGGTGAGATCGATCGAACTTGGCAGAGAACCATCGAATATTGCAGAGATCGATCATCCTTGGTGGCGCTTTTTTGAATAAAGACAAATCTCTGAGATATTTTGGGATATTTTTGGGAAGAAGACAAAAGTGGTAGGTGGGGTGGTAAGTGTGGATAAGATAGGATAAGATCGAATTATTTCGATCGATCGAAGAAATGGTGGATCGATCGAACTTGTTGGATTCTTTTGGATAAGGACAAAGGCTTGGATCCATCTTGAAATGTCTAGATCGATGAACTCCAGATCGATCGAAGTAATTCTGAGATCGATTGAACATGCTGAATTTCCACACTTTGCTTCATTTTGCTTCCACTTTGCTCATTTCTTCCATTCAACTTGAGATTGCTTCATTTATGCTCCTATTTGGCTGAATTGACTTATTTTTGGGATAAGTACCTAAAAAGGGCAATAACACAAAATTAGTTTAAAACGAAAAAATAAGATAGATAAAGGTCCTAGAATGCTCAAGTTTAAGGGGTTT